TACAGGATACTTAAGATTTTAATACGTTGTTCGGAAAGTTTGTTTTAAATTTCCTGTATGTGTATAATATAATACATGGGAAATTTGAAACGAACTTTTCGAACGGCCTAATAAATAAAATTTGAGAATGTAAAGACACCCAAGAGATATATAAGAAAAATTTGCAACATTTTTTCTTATCTTATCTTATTCTTATCGGATGTCATATATTCTCAAACTTCATCTATTAAAATCTGAAGTACTTTACGTATTAGAAAATTATTATCAAATTTGTGGTTTATTTTAATATATTTATACAGGAATAGAAATTACCGTGGATTAGAGTGATATCGTTAAGAGACATGTTGGAGGTAGCGAAGATACACTTTGAACATGGACAACGTGGACGAAGAAGACCGATACCGGCAATATCGGAAATTACGAGACTATCAAGTAGCGTTGCTATACATGCTATTAGGCTGCGTTTGGAATACATGAGAAATAATATAAATCTGAAAAATCTAAAGAATATCATAATACGTTACAAATATATTTTGCAAACTTTATAATATTTCTACAAGGTTACTGAAACATTGTCGGCGAAATATTACAATTGAATGTCTCTGAATCGTCTTTGCAATTTGCAATGTTGCAATGTTTCTGAAATGTTTGGTGCTGTATGGGACGCGCTCCACTTCCGACGGCGGGAAAATTCGTATCTACAGCTTGGCAGCCCTGATCGCGGTACAGTATCGATACATATCGACCTGCACTTACAAATTGCTAACTTTCACCCTTTACCTTTCTTTATTGAAAAAATCCCGCGTCGCTGGTTAAATAATTTTAAATCCCCGCATCTAAATACGTATCTCTTTCTCTCTTTGAGAGAGCGTCGTACCCCCGCATCGTCCCTAATCGAATAGAATCGAACGGAATAGATCGTTCCACAGCTCGCTCCGGCCTCGACGAAGCAACACGTTATTCCGCCCAGCTGCCACGGCACGTCGAGGGTAGGTGGGGAGGTAAATTTCTCACACGTGCCGCGGTGGTGGCAGTCGTACGCGAACCGTGACAAAACGAGCCGCGCTCCGCTTCGCCTGGGCCTCCTGCCTGGCTACGAGCGCACGGTGCAGCGCTCGCGCGGCTGACCAGCGCAGGTAGCGCGCGGTAGGGAACAAGTGTCTTGGGCGAACGGCGAACGCGGGGAGAGCGAAAGATGGCGATGGCGCATCCGTACACGCCGCAGCAGTGGTGATGCAGTGCGAGCGAGTGCCGTCGTCGTCGTCGTCGTCTGCCCCGATTGTACCGCGCGCTATCGCTCCGTGAGCGGTGCGCGGCCAAATGACATGGGAATTTGCAGCAGGAGGCACTTTCTACTGACAATATGCAGCCTGCAACTAGTGAGTGCACGCTAAACCGGATGCCAGGCACTTCCGGCTCGGAATTCCCGCGACGAATCTGGCCGCGAATCGCCTATGCATTACGCATATACGTTTATAAGTGCGCGACTATTATCTGTACAGATTGTGTCGTGCAACGCTGTTTTTTTTTCTTCTTCCCGCGAGTACCGCGATTGCGATATGATACGCGCGTCGGTCACGCCGCTTTGCGAGCGGACGCTTTGTAGTTTGCAGCGTCCATTGGGAGAGCTGGGCAAGAGCCGTTAGCACGTTTCTCTTATCGTCGATTCACGGATTAGCGTGCCGTTTTATCGCATCGACCCGGTTTATCTCGAGGGACTTCCCTAAAAAGGGAGCCTCGCGTCGCGATTTCGTTACATCACTCGATATCATCGGGGCGATTGCTTTTTTTTTTATGTATGCACTACAGCACGTAGCTGCGAGCGATTTGCTTTTCGTGTCAGAGACGTTAGAAAGTAATACTAATGTAAATATAATGAGCGCGCTCTCGGATTTCTTCTTTGGAATGCAGAATTTCTCCGTTTTGGAGCGTTGCAGTATCAAATTTGAACATCCAAACGTAAAGATTCCGCGTGTACGCGGAAGCAAAAAGGGCCGTGGATTTTTGCGCGAGTTTAACAAACGAAATAAAAAGGCGCCAATTTTTCATTAAATTTTATCGATCGAAGCAAATAATCCGAATCTTTTGAAAGACTTCTAGCGGGCTGCGAGGTCTGGACACGCGATCTTTCCTGTAGCTACGTAGGCGCCAGCAGACGCTATGACTCAGAATGATTAATTAACTGAACTATTTAGAACACAGGGCAATTGTCATAGATTAAGAACGCTCGCAGAGGGAATCAGTAGAAATTAAGATGATCCCCGCACTTATCACTTTACGTCGCGTTTCTCGCTGGACACTCGCACGCAGTTAATCTATGTTGCTCTCGCTTTCAGATCACCATTATAGAACGCCAAGTTTTCGACTTTCTGGGGTTTATGTGGGCCCCGATACTGGTCAACTTCTTCAACATCATCTTTGTAATTCTAGGATTCTTCGGGGCCTTTCAGTACAGACCTAGATACATCATATCGGTGAGTATTTTTGCTTTTGATGAGTATAATTGCTTTTAACGTGCGCGAGTGGGAAGAGATTCTTCGTACACGTGAAGACGAGAATAATTTCTATTCCACGTCACGTCGAAACAGGCGGGGACGCGTCTTCTCTACAGTTTTTTTATCAATTGTCGAATTAATTACCTGTCTTTATTGAAATCACTGTCCTTGTTTTAGTATTGTATATGGAATACAGTGTGGCTAGGATGGAACATATTTATCATATGCTTTTACCTCAATGTAGGGACACTGGACAAAGTGAGTAGACACTTGTGCAATGCTACGCGAATTATTGTGCACGTACAGCGAGCGTAATATTGTAATATTATTTTTCAGGATAGCGACATACTTAATCTCGGTACCGGTAGCTTTTCGTGGTGGTACGTGAACGGGCCAGGCTGCAAAGCCGTTTACGACGTGACGGAACCAGAGCTTTTTCGACCCGCGCGACCTACTAATGTAACAGACTGCGTGCTAGATTACGAAGTGATAGAAATTTTACACGCCGCGACGCAATGTATTCTAGGTGTAAGTGAAGGGTCAATTATCCTATAATGCGTTATTATAATAATTGCATAGATTCTGCTCTTATTATATTGTTGTTTCATTAGTTCCAACGTTCAATCGTTTCACATGTTTCAGTGTATAGCGATTGTCGGCGGAATTTGTCTCAGTAAAGTGTTCCTCGAGGAAGATGACAGCTGTGAGTATATTTAATTGTATTTTTAGTTTCAAAGATTCATAATTTATATTTTAAATTGCAAGGGAAATTTCAAAAGAAAAATGCGTTCGAAAGAAAAAAATTTATCACTGCATCGATACTTTATTTATGGACAAATACATGTTTATATTCTTTATTTTTATTAGTTTTCTGAATTTTTGTTAGCGACTTTTGCTTTGCTACTGAAAAGTCAATTAATGAACGCACTATTTAAAACAATATTAATGTAGCCTTAAAATATAATGAACTTTTTTCTTTATTCCTTAAAGCTTTTTTAATTTACGTTTGGATTGTTTTACCACTCATTATCTTTTACAGAAGAAAACTGTATTGATACGAGTTAAATTGCGATTAAGTTTCAAGTTTCAGTTTTATGACAACATTAGTTTACTTTTGAAACTTCCTTCGTGTATCAAAGTGCATTCAAGCAAAATTTTACAATTTTATATTTAAGATTTTAGTAAGATTGGATACAGTTTCACATATTTTAAAGATACTAGTAGTAAGACAATATTTGCTTGAAATAAGAATTTACGGTCTTTCAACTTTACTGGCTTGTGGTTTATGATAAGCAATTGGAGGGAAAAGGTTGTGGTTCTTATTAGACCAGCATATTCGATAAGAAGAAGAAACGGAAGTCGAATATTATTCTACACGTATATTCAGGAAAGTTAAAAGTGACGAGCCGTTATACTTTTATTTATTTTTATAATTTGTACATTGTTAATTTGAATATTTCAGTGATAGTCACATAATTATAAATAGTATAACAATGAGATCAATGAATTGACTATTCGTTTTCTGTGTAAACTAAATTTTGGAAAACGTCAGAGCTACGTTGGTCTTAAATAACGGCTAGATTTTTATTATTACATGCGCTTTGGTATATTATATTTTGAATACGGATTCCTAATTGCACAGTAACTTACATGTGTATATTTTACATTTGCACCAAACTGTTGAGGAATCTATCACCGCTGGCAGGAACGCATTTCTAAAGTTTGAATTAGTGATAAGAAATTATATAAATCCTTGTTAATCACTAATTATGTATAAGCACACGCGATTATTTATTATTGCTTGAAAAGAGGGTTATCGGTTACAGTTGATTTCATTGGTGGATTTGATCCTCCATTTTGGTAAGTCCGCTTAATCATGCTCGTCAGTTGCACGCCATACATATTTGTCTACCTTTTTTGGCACGATTACGTAATTTTTTATAGATGTAATCATGAAGTTATAGCTGTGTAAATTAGGTTTGAATACGTAGCGACGTAAAACTTTGCATCTTGAGACTTATAATTCGTATCCGTCGTTATTCTTGTCATTGCTACACGATAAAGCGTTTCTTTACCTTCGCATGAACGGAATGATGTGTCTTAATACAGTACGGTACATGACTTTTTACTTTCTTCAGCCGAGATTGTTAAGGCCTGTGTCCACGATGCTCCTTGGTCCAAGTTCTAGTTTCGCGAAATGTGTAGCCAATCAACGTGCAGCTTTTGTGGAATTGATTGGCTACACATTTCTTGGGACCAGAACTTGAATCAAGTCCCAGCGAGAAATGACCTGTCGATCGATGTCGAAATGATGAATCAACATCGACACCGTCAAATTGACGTCGATTCGACATCGATCGACGAATCATTTCTCACTGGGGTTCTAGCATCGTGGACGCAGACCTTTACAAACGCGATTGCGAAGGCATCACAAAATTAAGCAGACTATGCCATGTAGTAGAACCAAATGTTAAGGCCTGCGTCCGCGATGCTAGAACTCGGACCGAGTTCCAGCATCGCGGACGCAGGCCTTTACAGTCGAGAATAGTTGAAGCTAGGGCATTTCTTCTTCGTAAGACGTAATGGATACCTCCGGCGTTACTCGTCGCGTATTCGCTTCGTCGATCGATTCGCATAACGCACCGCTTATGTCTTCGGCTCGTCGTCGACGGACCTCATCTAATGCGATGGATTCTTGGATGATATTTCAGTTGACTTTGTTGGAGGCGATGACTTTGGGTTGGCAGGCCACACGCCGTTGCATCCTATGTACGTTAGCTACTCGGCTCTTCCACCACCCGCCTACTCCCTCAAAAATTCCGCTCAGAATAATTACCCGACCGGCACGGCTAGCTCTCACCAGTCTGCCTATCGCGAGTCGACCTTTCCGAAACGTAGCGGCGAGAAGCTGCTGGGCGGCGGTTCCGCGCGCGGCAAAGTCAACGCCGTCGGCCCCAAAGACGACACGGTCCGTAGTAACAGCAGTCGCTCGTCCAGCCGCGATCTTCCGAACGTAGACTACTCGGTCGACTATCTGAACCCGGTGGACCACTTGCAGCGGCCCGTGTCGCCCGTGTACGACGAGTACGACTCGTTGGACAGCGCCGCTAAGCTGAGATATCAGAAGAACCGGCTGTACTATCCGCACTCGGCTAAGTACAGCCCGGTCGCGCGTATCAAGTGCCGTCAGGCCGCGGCGAGGCAAGCCAGGAATCCCGCGAAACCCCGCGTCTTCATCGACCACGTGCGCGACCAGCCGCTCAGGTCGTTTTACTCCGACCCGAGGCTGGCCGTTGATCAAGCGCCGAGCGAGCACGACGGGTCATCGTCTCGGTCGAAACGAGACAGCCGACCGTTGTCTCTGTACGCGAGTAACCTCTGAAATGGGACCTTCCGCTGACCGCCCGAGAGGCACTTGTAATTAGAATCGGTGATCCGCCCCCCGCGAGGGTCCTCTCGGCTTCCGCTCTCTTATAGCGAGAAGAGTAAAGTTAGCTTACGTAAACTTCTATGCTACCGCGTATGGCGTCCACTCGTGCGGTACGTGTAACATTACAATTCCTATACTTGCCAAATAGATAGAGCAATTAGCTGGCCCTTAGATGCCTTTCCCTTTAGCAATTTCTATCGGATCTAAATTGCGAGCTGTGTGTTGTTTCTGCATAACGTTGCTACCTAATATTTATTTAACGACGGTGTTCTTCGTACCTTGCGTCGAACTGCGTGTGTCCAAGCAGCGATTGTTCGCACGAGCGATCAATGCAGTGTGACTTACCCACTAATTCATAAATGTTGCTTCTTTACACGCGGAATGATTCGGAATTGCCCTCCGCTCTCTTCACTACTTAATATATACAAATCAATGATTACATAGATATCAACGGCGCGATAAGATTAATATTGGACTAAACCGTTATCTCCGGCTGCCACCTTGATAAGATTAACGAAGGCCACGCGAAGCCGGAGAAAAAGTTAGTAATTTATATACACTTATTTGTACGGAAAAGGGTTAAGAGGAGCGGGCGATGAACGTGAGTCATCTTGTACGTGGTTCACTTACACGTACTGTTCGTGCTCTACGCATACATTGATGAATACGCCTTGGTATATTTACTGTGATATGTATAGAAACTGTGTTTAAGAGCATATATTTGTCGGAATATTTATCATTTTATAAATGTACGAGATTTGATTAGCGATACCTTGAAAATTGTATGCATTGAGAGACTTCGATGCACGCCACGCACAGAAAAAGTGTTGATGAAACACGGCATGACTGGAACGTGTTACTTAGGCGTGAAATTGTGCCTTCAGCTTTATCAGTTTTTTTTTTAAGTTCTCACGAGTAACCTTGACGTTTGAAGTTTGACGGGAAAAAAAACCGCATTGTGTTTTGCAGTAGTATTATTTCTAGATTCTCTCTGCGACGAGATTAGTACGTTTCTACAGAACTCTGTTGTACGCTACATGGATGGATAGAGGCTTTAAACTGGTACTTTGAAATGACTAGACTGCATTTAATTAGTTTATTTCATAGCTCAGTTGCCGGTCCCACCCGGCTCTACACTGAGAAAAAAGTCGTTGAAAGTTCACTTGTGGCATGTAATGTTCATTTCAGTGAAATGAACATTATATGCCGCGAATAGTGTTTATTTGAGAAATAAATTTTCAGGGACTTTTTTCTCGGTGTACAGAGGGTATTTTTTATCCTAGGATATTTAAAAGCAAACCTAAACTGGGGAGCGCGCATGACACGATTTCCCTTCGTTTAGTAGTGCATGTAGTAGTTGTGATTTTCTTCCTTGTTTTGTATTTTCAATTTCGCAGATTCGTGTACTTTTACTCCCTGAAAGCCCCCCGTTTTCCTAGATTAAATTTCACCGTTACGTACGGGTACACTTAATCGCGATTTCTTTACGTACCAAATTTCAGACGTTCTTTTATGGCAATATATTTATAAAAAAAAATCCGTTCCGCTTCGCGAACGTTTCACATGTGAATGACTGATTTTTTGCGTTATGTTATAATTTAATAAGAAATCTGAAGTGACATCACGTAAAGTGTGTATTTAGCAGATTATGCCAGCTTTTGGTGTAAAAAGTAGATTTAGTATGTAGCTAAATATGCCGATTACAAGGAAAAGACTGCTAAGAGAAGAATAGATATACCTTAAAACGGCTTAAACTTTACACACGAGAAAGTAGTAATGATCATTATATATTTATACGTAAAATAGATATTTTTTCTTTAGAGTAATACGGACGCCCCAGGATCGCGTTATCTTCGCTTACAATTAGTTACGTATAATTTCAAATGTACGCTATCTTATTTAGAAATATGATAGTAGAGATAAAAATAAATTTTGTAATATTGTACATATTTGTTTTCCTAGCACTTACGTGAGGTCATTGGACAAGGAGAAAGTTTATTTATTAGACGCGGAACATTTCTATTTCTTTTATATTTTGATGGCAAATTTATTTGTTAGACACAAAGCGTGTTGCTATTCCTTTACACTTGGCTTGGACAAATCGCAGTAAAAGAAACCATGGAACACGACGTTTTCTCGTCACTTCAGATTTAATATTTCTAATCGAGTACAGTCTCTATCGAGCACTCTCTCAAGTTGTACAGGATATTTATGTTTTTTTTTAAGGTCGTCATAATCAGTTTTTTGTATTTAACCACTGTATCACGTTATTTACTTTGGTGCAGTTAATTGGGAACAATAAATGTGCAATGCCGCTGTTCGCTTGCTTTTTTATTTATTAACCCTTCACTCTTCTTTCTTTTCCTTTTCTAACAGTTTCCTACTATGCGGTTTCTGGGGGAATCTCTTTTCATTTTTTCTACGTTTACTTTGTTGTTACATTTTTGGTTCTGAGCACTTTTTTTTTAAGAAATCGTTGAGACACTCGAACGCAAATATTACTTTTTGCAGAAAAATCGTCTTGATTAGTGAGCTTACCATTTGCAGTACAATTATCTCTTGAAAAGATATGGGTATAAAGTCTAGCAATTTAAGATGTGCAACATTTACGAAAATGATGACACTGAAATGATTATTTAAGACATTTCAAGGCAAAATGGAAAATGGGACAAATATATTTAGTTGAGAATAAACGGAGTAGTCGCGGGTCGCATTAACGAAATAATGAATTTTGTTTCTCTTTTACTTGACGTGTGCCGTTCGATTAGCGAGCACCGATCGCTCGATTATTGCGAACGAACGGACAAGAAAGGGGTGAGTGTGGCCGCACCGCCGAATCTGATCGTTCATCTTTATTTCCTTGACAGTACGAACTAAACGAAAGAAGAAGCAGCCGCGGCCGCTGTACAGCATCGAGTACTCGCAGCCCGAGCCGCCGGTGCAGGACGACAGCGTGTCGCCGAAGCCGATGACGCCGCGCCGAGTCAAGAGACGTTCGGTGATCTCGCGGGACAGCACCCGGCGTTCCGGCACGCGGCGCAGCTCCGTGCGCCAGTCGCGCCGCAAGAACCCGGTGAACCGTATCATGGACCACCAGGAGAGCCTGTACGCGAACACGGTCACACCCTGCATCGGCAACCTGACGAACCAGAACGTCAGCTCGCTGTCGCAGGGCACGCTCAACTACGACCGGATCGCGGTCGGCTGGGACCGCGAGCGGCACGCCGACCGGAACTGGCAGCCGGAGGCGGTGAACACGGCGGTGTCGTCGCCGGCACTGTGGCCGCCGGCCACCCAGGAATCCTCCAACAACTACTCGAACGCCTCGTCCGGCTACCCGGCTGGCCAGGGCTCGGCCGCCAGTGGCTGGGACCAGCATCCAACCACCAGCTCCACCCGCAATCTCACCGACAACTGGCAGGCGTCGCCGGGCGAGCCGAACCCGATGCAGTGGCAGGGTCAGAGCAACCCAACGTTCCAGCAGACCAGCACGCAGAGCCTGAACGGCGAGGACATGGAGGAGCTGTACAGCAACCGGCCGGCCAGCGCCAGGTCCAGCTACAGCAATTACCACGGCGTCAGGGCGACGCCGCAGGTGCCCAATCGCACCGACGTTGTCAGACAAAGCCAGCGGCAGTTCGTCCTAAATGGACCGCCCGCTTATCAGGACACGGTGATCTGATATGGCGACTTGGAGAAGCTTTAGATGTGCGCCTCGCGTCGAGGACGATGTCAAGATAATAAATTGCAAGCGGCAAACTTGGCCTTATCGTCTGCTAAATTTATCAGATGCAGTAAATAAGATGAATCGATCATCGGCTATGGGATGAACAGCAACGTTCATCTTTGCGAAGAAAAATGGCACTATTTTTTATAGCGCTAGTCGCGCGCGCAACGCCTTCGATTCAGTAGAAAGCGAAAAATAACGAAGACTTAAGGAGATCGCACCAAATGCAATATGTATTATTTCCTTATCGTTGATACTTGAAGCTGTAATGACTCCGAACGGTTGTTTTAACTGTCTCAATAATTATATCATGTTAAGGTGATAGTTTGACAATGGCTAGGACTCTCAACGGTAGAAAGAGGAGCAAGATTTCACCGATTTTTAGAGCTTTATTCGATACGGATTGATGCGACAGATCTCTACTATAGTGTTGCATCGTATTGTACTATAATAACGTCTATAAGCAACGTAAAGGTATTCTGAATCTTCTTTTACCGATGAAAGCGCAACTGAAATTGATTTTGAAGGATACTTATTGGCTGGAAGGATCTTTCACGGGCACTTTTGCCGATAAAAAGGCTTCAGAATATGGGCCGAAGACTCGAGGAGCTTATTCGCTCTCTTTGGTCGTTCCGCAATATTATTTTAGAGGCATCCAAGCTGTATACGTTCGCGCCATTATGATTTGCCGATTCGATATCGGCGGTAAATCCGTACACCTACGTGATATGGGCTTATCTTGAAAACGGCGTAAGCTCACTTTTAGGTGATTGTTAAATAGACTTAATGCACGGATTTTGCAATGTACGTACATTAAACTTACGCCAGTTTCGAGGTAGACAATGAAGATTGCCTTCACTCTCAGGATTAATCTATCCGACTGCGTGAAATTAGTGTACTATAAGATACAAAAGTGTAGGACAGATCAAAATCCCAAGAGCGTTAGAATTTTTGCGCAACTGTCCCCTCTCATTTCTCGTTCTTAGGAAACTTTACATTCTCATCCTATTTATATCATAGAACTAAGGGTCCTCTTGTTCTACGCATAAAATCAAAAGCTCATCGTATTATCTGTAAATATAGATTTATAAGTCACTCATCACCCTCGAAAGCGTATTATCGACGACGTACAATCGATTTTATTTATAATTCTATCTAAGTACGATTAGCGACTTGCGCTGCTTTTGACACTTTACGAAATCAAGATGTCCGTCTTTTGGAGATTTATTACACTTTCGAGTAAAAGTTTTACAATTTTTGTACAAAACTCGTTTGTATTTGGACATTTATATTTATTTATGAACGCTACACAATTATGCTACAGTCTTCCAAAATTTAGAGGATAAACATTGATGCGATCCACCTTTGTGTGCATTAGTGGCAAATAATAATGGTAAGCTTATAGAGTAATAATGACGTACAATGTTACATCGCGCGCAATCCTATACGCGCCTGCAACACAATATCGGTGCACTGTCTCTTTTGTAATGTTGTAAAATATTATAAGATCTTCGTATTCGTTGAGAAACTGAAATTAACTTCGACGCGCCTAAACTAGGTCCATTTAAATCATGCACATGTCATTTGGTTCGAGAGCCTACTTATTTGTAGGATTTTTGTTAGAATTTGAACTTTTCCAAAGTGCGAAAAGTCATTTCAGCAACAGGAACTTCTACTTACTGTTCACTGCCCGATGTCGTAAAAAGATGATAGTTGTAACAAATTGATTACAATTTTCGTATTACTTATTAATCAAAAAATTGTACGCAAGATTCATTTTTCGATTTGTTAATTATATAGAATCTTTTTCATTGTTTATGCTTTTCACCCGGTAAATGTTGACTTGTCTATAAGTGCGTCGAGAATTAGGGAGAAGATAGAAACCAAAGTTTTAAATATCTACGTATATACAAGTAAGACCTATCAACTTTAAAACTGCCTCACCTGTTCTGGTTATTGTACAATCTAGAATTACTTTTGAAACTTGTTGGGTCAAGTGAAACGTGAATTACGTTTAATTTCTAATTACTTATAAGAATCTCGTAGTTTTGTAATTGTATCGTTGCGCCCGTGGTTCGCTCGCGTGCCGCGCACGCTGCGCTCGCGCATTGCAGAACTCATAGAGACAACAAAGCTCGGCTCATGAGAAAGAACGTATTTATTAAGTACTAAATACAGGGAAGGAAAAAGAAAATTTGGCTCGAACTTAAGGACCATTTCCGCGGGTGCGTAACACTGCCCTTTTTCAAGATCATCGTCCCGATAATTAAACTCGGGCAGTCTCTGCACAACCTTCTTTCCGTAACGTCACTGTGATCAGTTATAGTAAGATACACGTGACTGAACAAGTGGGAAGTTCTCAGTTTGTTGTACGGACCGTGTACAGCACAGTGTCTTCGAGATACCTGGGGTCTCTTGAGTAACAACCCATGGTGAAACTAGTGCTACAATATTGTTGCTCATCCTAATAACACCACGTTACCAGCATATTATCAACTATCCGATGATGCTGATAATGGACAACTATTTCTTTTCTCAACAATCGTGATTTGTTCTCTGAATTTTTGCTACCTCCCATACACAGTTTTCTGCAAACGGTGACACATTTCGCATCTTTCAAGCATGGACTTGTAAGGAGAAAAACGCACTCGTTCGCCGAACACGACTTGTCCCAAATTTTCAAGAACTATACAATGTTGTTGATAATGGACTACTATTTCTTTTCTCAACATCCGTGATTCTCTGAATTTTTGCTACCTCCCATATACAGTTTTCTGCAAACGGTGACACATTTCGTATCTTTCAATGGACTTGTAAGGAGAAAAACGTACTAGTTTCCCGAACACGACTTGACCGAACTGAAAGTCTCATCAACTATACAATGATGCTGATAATGGACTTTTCTTTCTCAGTAACTGTAACTTTTTTCCGAATTTTTGTCACCTTGCGCGTACAGTTTCTTGCAAATGGTAGACGCTTGATATCTTTCAAGAATTGCAAGGACCTGTCCCAAATTCTCAACCGGTGACTGTCTTTCTTTTACCGTGCAGAAGTCGATATGACTATGTTCATAAAATATGACATATTTCTCCGTGTTTAACATGTTCGCTACCGTAGTGCGGTTGGAAAACCGGTTGCTACAGTCCATGCTTTGTTTCTAGTAGTTTTACAATATATGAGCGCGTATTCCAGCGCGGGCGTAACACTATTGTATTTGCATTAACTGGCCGATTATACTTACAAATATAGTAGAATAGCTTCACGTACAGGGCAGCTATCTTATCGATTGCGAAGCAATAACGTCGGTGCACTTTGTTTCATTAAGATGACTTTTAGTACGTTACGGTTGAGATTACGTATCACATCATGCAGTTTTAATCAATGAAAGTTTACTAATAATTGTTTGGATTATGTACAATTATTTAGTATAAAAGATTCGCGAGATTTACAGTTATTATACAATATATTGTATTATCGTGTAACAATTTCAAGACAATAAACGATAAACGTTCATTATTTTGTCGATCTATTGATTTTAGTATCTACGGTCAATCCTTTATTCTACGCACATCCTGCCCATTTAGACCAAGCATGAGCGAATCCGAACAAGAACTGTATAGTAGCACAATATATTGGCGCAATATTGGGAAATAATGTAAATTTAGTATTCCCAATATTGTAAGATGGACGCCTTCTCTTATTTAGCCAATATGTCTATTTAGCAATATTGGTAAATATTGGCCAATGCACTTCTAATATAAATCTAATATTATATAATTATTATCGTGCAACATTTACATTTCCCGGGAAAAAATTTTCACATATGATCATATATAATCATATATGCTCATATACGAAAAATGTCCATATATAAGATACCATATGTATCATATATGATCGTACATGATAATGTGTTTGTCATATATGACAGTATATATGACAAATACATTATCATATACGATCGTATATGATAATGTGTTAGTCATATATGACAGTATATATGACAAACATGTGCATCATATATGATCGTATATGATAATGTATTTGTCATATAT